ATTGGTACAACTGCAGAACTAAACCTGCAAAGACTCGATTGGAATCTTCTGATGTAGAAGAACCAAACCTGTACCTGAGTAATCAATCAGGCCGGATTGAAATGGCCATCTTCGGACAAAAATGTGCTGGGAACTGCACAACCATATATACCAACTGACCACCAAAGAACAATTGGCTCGACCCACACACCAAACAAATACCATTCTCTTTTCACATTCTGACAAACCAAAGAATTTGAAAATCATGAGGCAGCTGCTACAGCTGGTTGAGAGGCCTTGGATAATTTATCCTTTTCAATCTCCACTCTTCTCTGTTCAGCATGCTGGGCAACACCATTGGCAAGAGCTTGATAATGAAAATCAAGTGTCTGCGTCAGCTTCTGGAACCTCATTGGATCGGATGCTTGCAGAGCTAAGGATAGAATTTGACAGTGGATTAGGAAACGGTTTAACAAGATTACGTTAATCCTAATTTATCTCAGTTCAGGGTTCAAAGAGCGACAGACTACAAAACATACTTTTAATAGTGTCCACAAAGAAAATAAATGGATCAATATCGTCGATGGGTGATTGCAACTCTTCATCATCACTCCAATCGTCGTCATCTAAGTCCTCGTCATCAAATTCACTGGTATGGAAAGCCTTGGCCTGCATTATTATCGATATATTCATCAAGCGCAAGTTGTAAAAATAGATTTAAAAAAAAAAAAAAAAAAACAAAAAAAAAAAAAAAAAAAAAAAAAGCACAATGATTCGAGGATCTCCCAATGTATATTTGGTATCCATCCCAATAATTTGTGAGGATCGAGGCTAGTATTACTTTCATAGTGCTTCAAGACATCCAGGATTGTAAACAATTTCACGAGTTAACAGACATGTGTCTCAGAATTTGGTAAACTGTATGCAACTCGCGAATTTCATTGCTATATACTCTCTTCATACCTTATTAAGACCTTCATATAATCATTGTTTAAAGTCTGGGTAGAAGGTTCTACTCACCCTAGCAGCCAATTTCTGAAGTTTAGCATTCGCAGCTTCATCTCCATCCTGAGCATCAAGCCCCATATCCTTGTCAGAATCATCATCATCATCATCATCATCTTGAAAATTGTCCATGTCATCATCATCTTCACCCTCTTCCTCCTCTTCTATCTTCGCAGATTCTGCTCGAAATTAAAGCGTAAGTATACGCATCCAAAATAGGACAATACCCAAGAAGCAAAATCTTTATCTGACAAACAGTTTGCATAGAGATGTGACAAAGAGTCGCAGCTAACCTATCAATTGAT